ATGCATGCATCAAATATTCTTGATATGTCAAAAATGAAACACCTCTAAGTAGTGGCAAAGCAATGTATCTAAATTTAATAATCTTCTTGTTATGCGCCAAACTACACGCTTAGGAAATATATTCTATTTTGGAAGAGATATTTAATAATCAGAGATATTCTGAAATGCATTGAAATATACACTTATAATAAAAGCCATATACCTTATGGAGTATCCCACAACATTTGCTACTTTTCCAAAGTCTCAAAAATATATCCACTCCTAAAGTATTTAAGTTATACCTATTATTTGTCTAGAGGTTCATAATTGTAAGTGTAGATTAACTAAACATTACTTATAGAGCGTAAGAAAGATCTTCTTGCTGCCAAAAAAAATTGTTAAATTCATATAAAGCAAATCAACTTCAGATTTGATAATATTGAATTAAAATCCACTTATCCTGAACAAAAATCAATAGATTGTTTCTCAGTAACATACCATATGTACATATATACCCTTACCTAGTCGCAATAGATTCAGGGTATCGTAAGTGATTTCTTTTTTTGGCAATGCGTCACGGATAGTTTGATCTACACAGATCCAGAATAAGATTAGCAATCATTAGGGTTCCATTAGAATCACAATTCACATTGCTTTTAATAGAACATCCTCGGCAGAGTAAAAGCAAATTCAAAGCCTCAGCAATAAATCAAAATGGGAAAACATCATCAACAAGAACAACAACAACAACAGCAACGATCGCAAACGGAAGTCACAGATGTATATATATATATATTATACGTATATACATATGCACGCTTGTATTTATACAGAATCGAGTATAAGTATATCTACTATTTGGTGCGCACACACAAGATTCCCATATATCTATACGTACACATACATATGTATATATAGATATACTTTAAATATATTTAGAGACAGTCGCAGACAAGAAAAACAACAACAACGACGACGACGACGAGTCGCAACGTCAAAGACCGATCGCAAGGGAAAATCTTGCTGAGATTTTTCGCCGTTCAGCAGCGAGTTTTCGTGAAAATTCGCAGCCGTAAACGGGACTGTAAAATGTTTAGAGCAGCGCAAATTGCAAACTATTCGAATTGCACATAAAAGCGTCACGAGTCTAGCGACGTCTTTGTTTTTGAGTGCGTCTATCTTGTGGCTGCGCAGCAGCAAAAATAACACACATTTATTTATAAATCACACACGCACACACGCACAACAATTTTAGTAGGTGGGGCAACTCACAGCGGCATGCGACGCGTGCCAGACACACGCGCCCTTCGACTCGACTCTAGTCCAAGTGTATCTGCATATGTTGCTGGCGAGATTCTGGCGTATTTCGTATCTGGTATCTGGAAGTTGTACTTTCGATTCAATTACACTCACTTAAATCCGCGCACGTAGCGTCTTTATACTATTTTATTTATTTTGATTCGCCTTCGCCTCGCTTTCGTACAAATCGGACAATTGCGTCGAGGCGACAACTGAGAGACGCGAATGACGACTGCCAACTGAGGCGACGCGCGTCGCCGAGATCGACCCCAGACGCAGCCCAGTCTCTGCTGTTGCTTCTGTCTTCTGTCGTCTGTCTTCTGTCTTCTTCTCAGATTTTTCTCACGGCCGCTCGCCAGCATCCTTGACTGTTTGTTCTTGTTTCTCTGCCCACTTCACTCTCCGCTCTGGCGTCTCTTGTTTGTTTGTTTGTTTTGTCTCTGGCGTCGCGTCAAGTGGATTCAACGCAATTGACTTGTGAGCCGTCTGTAAATACACTCACACCCGCACACGCACACGCACACGCACATGTACGCACAGCGGGTGTGCGGCTACTCGGACATGGATTGCCCGAACGTCCATGCATTCCCAGTGTGCTACCTGGCCGCGGAATCTATCGAGGCATTGCTGTGCCGACGATCGTTGCATGCCCCATAAGATTAATGTCCCGTTGCAACTGTTGCTGCATCTCAGCTATTTTTAGCTCTGCCTGCGACAATATTTCTTGTGGTAGCTGCGAATGAACTAAATGAACTGCAGTCAACTGCATCACTCCTCTCACTATCCTCTCTCTCTCACACTCTCTCTCACACTCTCTCTCCCACTCTCTCTCACATGAAATCTTACTCCTACTCCGAACGGAAATGTGCCTCAGCTGAATGATCGACACTAATTACAGTGCGCAATGGGTTTATTTTTGCCCTAAACAAATTATGATGGCAGATTAACGAGAGAGAACATTGTTGGGTAATAATATTTTATAAAATTTATAAAATATAGGTATTTAAGCAACAACAAATGAATAATAAATAATAATAAAAGAATATATTGCTATTTTAACTTTATATCTATCTCTTTATCTATATATGAATTATAAAATTAATATATATAATCAAGCAATTTTGGCTATTCAAATAACTGTATTAATAATTTAATTTTAAATAAATTAAATTTAAATTTAAATTTAAATTTTAGATTTTAAATATGTAAGATTTTGGACAGCTCATGATGAATGAATGTGTAATTAAATATTTGAAAAGTATACGGTAATAACGTGTTAGCTTACCTTAATATAAAATGGAGCAGCAAGGCCTAATTAGACGTGCACTACAAAAGAATAAAGGTACATTTACCAATTTTGTTATATCAATACTGTCATTTTAATAATAATAAATCTAACTATGCTATGTTAAATGAAAAAGAGAGTGGAATATAGCCTCAGCATAACATACTAGATTTTAATATATTTTTCCAACTATAATAATATATATTATTTTTATACTTTTTATACTTTTATATTTTTATATTTTTATACCCTGAGCCCATTGAAAATGGGAAATCAGGGTATAATGGTTTTGTTAAAAGTATGTAACAGGCAGAAGGAGGCGTGGCAGATCCCACAAAGTATATATATTCTT